AGGGGAGGGGTAATTATCATCAGTGGTTGTCAGGGGAGGGGTAATTATCATCAGTGGTTGTCAGGGGAGGGGTAATTATCATCAATGGTTGTCAGGGGAATGGGGTAATTATCATCAATGGTTGTCAGGGGAATGGGGTAATTATCATCAGTGGTTGTCAGGGGAGGGGTAATTATCATCAGTGGTTGTCAGGGGAGGGGTAATTATCATTAGTGGTTGTCAGGGGAGGGGAGGGGTAATTATCATCAGTGGTTGTCAGGGGAGGGGTAATTATCATCAGTGGTTGTAAGGGGAGGGGTAATTATCATCAGTGGTTGTCAGGGGAATGGGGTAATTATCATAAGTGGTTGATAGGGGAGGGGTTATTATCATCAGTGGTTGTCAGGGGAATGGGGTAATTATCATAAGTGGTTGATAGGGGAGGGGTTATTATCATCAGTGGATGTCTGTTGAGTGGGGTAATTATCCTAAGCGGTTGACAGGGGAGGGGTAATTATTACTGATGATTGACAGGGGAGGGATAATTATCATCAACAGATCTTTTGAATAATTTCACAGTAACTGAGAAAAGTCATAATCAGAATCCTAGTATTTCCATGCATTTCATTCAATTACTGCCAGATTTTGACCTATTTAGATTAGAAATGACATTAAGTGACTATTTTGAATGATAGCTAGGTTTTTAATGGTTTTAATTAAAGAACAAAAAAAAGTTTAGTGGTTTTAATTATCACAAAGTTGGAACTAACACGTGGAAATCATATACTAAGAGAGACTAAAATAACAAATTTTAGTCTTTTTAAAATCTGAAATTTTGATTAAAAACTTTCAAAATGTTTTAATTGTTGTTTTAAAAATCAATAACATACTTGATAAAATGAACCATCTTCTATGTTAAAAGACAAACTGTTGTGACATGAACAACTATTGATGATTAAGTACTGATGTGACCCTAGAGTGTCATGTAGACACAATTAGACTATTATTACTGCAGCAGATGTGAGTTTCACTAGCAGAACCAGTTAGTGTATCAGGTAGATTGTATTTATTACATACGTAACACAGCACTACAGCACAACAGAGATCTCAGATGTAGTCTTCCAAAAGATAGATATACCAGTTTATATTTGTTAAGGAAAAAACCCAAACTAATTGTATTATGTATGAAACTCAGTAAAGCACCATAGGGATCTCTTAAACACAGCCTTTTAATAGGTGCACAATACATACATGTAGATTTGTCTAAGAACAAAAGCAAATTATTGTTTTAAACTCTCTGTATCAAACCACCAAACCTTATAACATCCCTTATTACAGCAATCAATCCTGAACCATTTAGCAAATGTTACTTATTTCCTTAAAGTACTTTGATGTAACACTGAATGTATAAGTAGAGCAGTCTGATTCAAAGAATAAATTTTTTTTTCTTAAATCATTACCGACCAGTATCAAGTCAATCTGATCAGAATCACATACAGTTCAACCCTCAAACACATCCTCTTACCCAGTCCATCTCTCAAACACACCCTCTATCACAGTTCAACCCTCAAAAACATCCTTTTACCCAGTCCATATCTAAAACAGTTCAACCCTCATATACATCCTCTTACCCAGTCCATATCTAAAACAGTTCAACCCTCAAACACATCCTCGTACTCAGTCTATATCTAAAACAGTTCAACCCTCAAACACATCCTCTTACCCAGTCCATATCTAAAACAGTTCAACCCTCAAACACATCCTCTTACCCAGTCCATATCTAAAACAGTTTAACCCTCAAATACATCCTCTTACGCAGTCCATATCTAAAACAGTTTAACTAAAACAGTTCAACCCTCAAACACATCATTTCTTTAGTCCATCCATCTGCAACATTCCATCTCTCAAACACATCTTCTTCTTTAGACCATCCATCTGCAGCAGTCCACTTCTCAAACACATCCTCTCTTTAGACCATCCATCTACAACAGTTCACCTCTTAAACACAACCTCTCTTTAGTCCATTCATCTGCATTAGTTCACCTCTCAAACACATCCTCTCTTTAGACCATCCATCTACAACAGTTCACCTCTTAAACACAACCTCTCTTTAGTCCATTCATCTGCATTAGTTCACCTCTCAAACACATCCTCTCTTTAGACCATCCATCTACAACAGTTCACCTCTTAAACACAACCTCTCCTGTATTCCATCCATCTGCAACAGTCGACCACTCAAGTACACCCTTTAAAACAGTTCAACTCTCAAATACATCCTCTCAGCAGCTGCATTTTCTGTTTTATTTGACTGTAAAAGACTTATAAACAGGATATATAAGGATAGAAAGAATAAAACAAGAATTTGGTGACACCAGTAGTGGTGCTGGTATAATCAGGAATATTCCCTGTAGATACAGAATGATTTATTTAAATCTTGTCACAACTGCTCTAGTGCTACTGACAATATCACAGCTCTTAAAAGCCCTTTCAACCTTCCATTCAAGTTTCCACTATACGGTGAAGTTGATTTTAAACATAAAGCCATAATGTCCCATCAATAATTCACCAATGAACCAGTAACATAAAGTGGAATAAAACACACAGAACAAGGGTTTTATGGAATAAAACTTCGAGATATTCAAATTTTATGCTGTGTTGTATTGAACATTGAAGATTTACCTACTTCTCCTTGAAAGTGTAAGATTGTCCTATGATTAGTCTATAAAGCCACAATCTAATACAAATTAAATCTTGTCCAGTAATTGGCCCTGGTAATACAAAGCACTATATCATGTTAGCTGATGTCAGTTAATTCTGAAAATTACAAAATTAATATTCCTGTCTTCCAAAATTAAATATTTGGTTTAAATATCAAGTAAAAACTAAGGACCATTAAAATTACACTGTGATTAAATTGATGACCATTAAAATTACACAGTGATAAAAACTAATGACCATTAAAATTACACAGTGATAAAAACTAATGACCATTAAAATTACACAGTGATAAAAACTAATGACCATTAAAATTACACAGTGATAAAAACTAATGACCATTAAAATTACACAGTGATAAAAACTAATGACCATTAAAATTACTGTGATAAAAACTAATGACCATTAAAATTACACAGTGATAAAAACTAATGACCATTAAAATTACTGTGATAAAAACTAATGACCATTAAAATTACTGTGATAAAAACTAATGACCATTAAAATTACTGTGATAAAAACTAATGACCATTAAAATTACACAGTGATAAAAACTAATGACCATTAAAATTACTGTGATAAAAACTAATGACCATTAAAATTACTGTGATAAAAACTAATGACCATTAAAATTACACTGTGATAAAAACTAATGACCATTAAAATTACACAGTGATAAAAACTAATGACCATTAAAATTACACAGTGATAAAAACTAATGACCATTAAAATTACACTGTGATAAAAACTAATGACCATTAAAGTTACACAGTGACAAAAACTAATGACCATGATAAAAACTAATGACCATTAAAATTACACAGTGATAAAAACTAATGACCATTAAAATTACTGTGATAAAAACTAATGACCATTAAAACTACACTGCTTGAAGAACATTAAAGGAGCACACTGGACATCTTTTTATACAGACACTGAACATCTGCACTGATGGACAATGGACACCTGTATGTAGGGACACTGAACATCTGCATTAATGTACAATGGGCACCTGTATGTAGGGACACTGAACATCTGCATTAATGGACACAGGGCATCTGTATGTAGGGACACTGAACATCTGTGTCAGCATTTTATTCCTGTACTTGTCAAATACAATAGTGAACGCAACACAACTTTACAGTTCACTTGCAAACAATTCTGATAAAAGTGCTTTTGACATAGGATCATAAAACTATAGTGAAGCAGTAATGTTTGGTTTATTTCAGCTATACTTTCCAACATTAATAAACTATTCACATCAAAAAGCAGACTGCCTTTGAAACGGGCATTTTCCAGTTTGGTTTAAGGTAAGAAACAAAAGCACTACAAGGCTGTAAAACAGTATATGTCATCACATGCCTATAGATTTCATTATAAAACAAGTCAAATCTAAGACTCTGTCAGATTTAGATTCTTGTTACGAAATAGATCAGAGTATTGAATGTAAGGCGATAACTACATTTATACTTTATTACAAAAGCTCATTATATTTCTTGGATGTGCTCAGATAAAAAAACCAACTGTGTGCTGTATTCAGAAGTTGAGAACTAATTTTAAAATGTGACAGCCCGCTTTCGCATGACACATGAAATATAGCAGGGTTATTAGCTACAAAGTTGTGAGCTAGAGAAACTTTGGTACAGAACCAGTATGGCACAAGACAATATGACCTATGGTGCCGTCTATAGATACTGAATCAAATGAAGCCTGTTCATCACTAAGGATTCATTAGTAAGACAGTTACATGCTGTCTATAATACACTACAACACAGACTTATATAGTTACAGGCTGACCATAATACACTACAATACACACTGATATAGTTACAGGCTGACCATAATACACCACAATAAGTTACAGGCTGACCATAATACACTACAATACAGACTGATATAGTTACATGCTGTCTATAATACACAACAATACATGCTGATATAGTTACAGGCTGACCATAATACACTACAATACACACTGATATAGTTACAGGCTGACCATAATACACTACAATACAGACTGATATAGTTACAGGCTGACCATAATACACCACAATACAGGCTGACCATAATACACTACAATACAGACTAATATAGTTACAGGCTGACCATAATATACTACAATACAGACTAATATAGTTACAGGCTGACCATAGAACTACAATACAGACTGATATAGTTACAGGCTGACCATAATACGCCACAATACAGGCTGACCATAATACACTACAAAACAAAAAAAGCATCAATTTCAGTGTAATTGATAAACATATTATTAAATACGGAAATGTCTATCTGCTGTGACCTACCTGTTTGCCATTCATAGTACTCGGCACTGGTTCCAACTGCGGCACATAGCAAACACAGGAAGGTGAGGTTGACTACGCAGGGCAAACGCTTTGTCCACCCTGGGATACCATTGCCCATACTCGGTCCCAGTGTCCGCATTCGGTAAGTACACTGGCTCCTACATCTACGGTATTGGGTGTATCTCGCTCACTTCTCACCATAGATAGGCCTGGAGGGAGAAAGGCAACAAATTTAGAATTCAGTATGCAGGAGTATTTTTGGAAAAATGATGGCTTTTCCTAAGATATATGAATATATACGGACAAAAGACGATTTTCATACCTAATGCTGTTTATAATGATGAGACATGGAAACATTCAGCTAAATTTGATTGATGACCAAGAACTTGAATAAAGGGTAATGACCTACTATACAATATTAAAAGAAGTGTAAGAATTCTTAATTTGGTTACAAATTTGTAACAAGATACAGATACAAGGAGACACCAGACATTGTCTAGGGGCACAGAATTACTTACATACTTATCTCCAACTATGGATCAGACTTGGCATCTGAACATGAACAGTGACTACAACCTTGGCCTCACTTCCTAAGTCATACAAAAGTAACTAAAACTACATCTGATCCACACTGTTGACAGGCTTCAGACCTTACAGTTGTAACCATCTACATTTTGGTATGATACATTTGATCATCATCTTGAATACTTGTTTTACTTTATGATACTGGCCCGCTGTACATAATCGTTGTATACCTGGAAGCCTGACACATTTTCATTATTTAATGGTATCCTGATACACAGTATCTACTACAACAGTCTATCATGGGCAAATCTTCCAGTTTTGACATCAAATCTTTTCCAGAATAGCTTTTGAATTATTATTTTCAGGATTCCAAATGCATATTTAATTATCTCTAACATTCCTATCCTAAGTGGAAACCAATCCTTCCTAATGCTGATTTGAAAAACTTCTTGTGCCTTAGTAAACTTCAAACCACACATATGTACTTTTGATATTTATGACCCCACATCTGACCATAAAACACTATGGGTTCAATACAAAACACAGTATTTACCTAATTATCAGAAAGACCTGGCCCAAAATCCACTAACATAATTTGCTGGTGGGGTTCGGCTACAAATTCAGCATTACACATGTACATTAAATGGGGTAATAACCTGCCTCAGTTAGACTTCATTCCAACCATTTCATTGGCAAACCAAACTAAATCAGTTTGACACCAAATTTAAAATGAATTATTTTCTTTCAAATTTGAAACAATTCTTTGGTATGTGAAGCGGTAAAAAGATACTTTAATGACTTTTCAGATGCTGGTAATGACAATATCCCATATATCCATTCCTATCATATTTATTATTGAAACAAAATGATACAGTACAATTTGAAAGGGCTCAGGATAATTTGTCTCTGATTGTGTTTTTTCATTCATTGGGTTTGATTAATGAGGCATGTAATGACAAGGAAAAAAGACATGTTGTCTTCGTTTGAAGATCTGTTTCCTTGTCCTCTTCATAGGGTTAATTTAACAGGCTACACTAGGACAGATATATACAAACTCCTTTATTAGTCGAGATTTACGAGGTTTACGCGACAGGACTATATCACGATAAACAATATTCACAAATATTCCTGTCAATCACAGACAATGATTTACAGAAGACTATTTTTTTTCTCGGATATTCTGGTCTTTTGTATTTGAATAACACCTAATTCCTTTGTATAACTGATGCTGCTTTTGAAATTGATTATGCTTATTTCATAAGAAAAAACAATGTGTTATGATTTATGATGTTTTGTCTTAATTACACTCTATATGTTATCATAAACACTAATTGCAGGAAACTAAATAGTCTTCATGGTAGATCACTTCTAATATAATTGATTTTTTTTTAACGAGAACATATTTCAGATGAATAAAATTAAAGGTCTAATAAAAAAGGTTGCATGTGTTATGATCTTTAATTGTCTTTATCAAAGGTGTATTCAAACAGCAGATCATTTCAAATATAGTTTTATCGTATTTCCAGACAAAGATGTTTTTATCTGTAAATCATTCCGCTAGCCTAATCATGAAAGGACACATTAAGATCAATTCCATAACATAATAGTTTAAAACAATATGTTATTTATGAAATATTAAAGGTTGAAGAACTGAAACTAGCTGTGATAAAAACCAATAACCCTCTGAAGTCTAAATACAAGGACATGCTAGGCTGTTTTAAAATATTTTTTTAAAAGACACAAACAATTTATTCTATCAGCAGGTCTGACAGATTTATGAAATACAAATATATTAATATTTTGTCATCAGTTTATAGATTGTTCACAGTATATTCTCTGTAGACAATTTACACATTGTTCACAGCAGATCCTCTGTCTTTTCAGCTTCCCAATCAACAGGAAGCTCCTTGTAAAAAGGCAAACATTCTTTAGTAACCTGACTAGGATGGTTTCAAAATTTTAAATTTGGCTAGAGCTGACTCTATTTCTGTACAGGATACCTTAGGTCCTAAATGGAAAGTTCTTAAGGTAATGACACTTTTTTTATAAGGATAAATACAGAAGCTGTTGTAATGATCACTGAAGTCTCAGACTTTCCCGTTATTGAAAATCATACTGTACAGTATACTACCACCTAAAGTCAAAGCTCTTACCTAATAAAATACAGGGCTACGTATAACCTTGAATTATTCCAAATTTATTTCCTTTACATCAAACTTCTATATGGGCTAATCCATCATTTTATACCTACGGCATAAATACAGACAGGAAAAATCCTGCATTTTGTGATGGATATGACATCTAAATCCGTATGCAGACATATATGCTGGATACATACAAGTCAGTTATTGTGCTAATGTTGTTATTAAAAACGTATTTTCATACCTTTTTACTGTAGCAGGAACACTGAGGTATGTTTCCTATAAAACAACTATTACTTTTCTTTACTATTATCAAACTTCAAATCAAACTAATGAAAACTAGCCTGTCTATTGGACACAAAACCTGTTGATAATAACCACATTTAAGCATTGTCTTACATTGTCTTACATTGTCTATAAAATATTTTACAGAGACTTATCTCTCAGCAGAAATCTCAAGTATTTGTACCATTAACCAATATTTGTGGATATGTTACTTATATCATTAAATTACCCACAATTATCTCCAGTATGAACTTCCCCACAACTACCTGCAGTATGAACTTCCCTAAACTATCTTCAGTATGAACTTCCCACAATTATCCCCACAATTATCTTCAGTATGAACTTCCCACAATTATCCCCACAATTATCTTCAGTATGAACTTCCCCACAATTATTCCCACAATTATCTTCAGTATGAACTTCCCACAACTATCTTTAGTATGAACTTCCCCACAACTATCTTCAGTATGAACTTCCCACAATTATCCCCACAATTATCTTCAGTATGAACTTCCCCACAACTATCTTTAGTATGAACTTCCCCACAACTATCTTTAGTATGAACTTCCAACAACTATCTTTAGTAAGAACTTCCCACAATTGTCCCCACAACTATCTTTAGAATGAACTTCCAACAACTATCTTTAGTAAGAACTTCCCACAATTATCCCCACAATTATCTTCAGTATGAACTTCCCCACAACTATCTTTAGTATGAACTTCCCACAACTATCTTTAGTAAGAACTCCCCCACAACTATCTGCAGTATGAACTTCCCCACAACTATCTGCAGTATGAACTTCCCCACAACTATCTTCAGTATGAACTTCCCCACAACTATCTTCAGTATGAACTTCCCTACAACTATCTTCAGTATGAACTTCCCACAATTCTCCCCACAACTATCTTCAGTATGCACTTCCCCACAACTATCTGCATGTTGTATGAGCTATCTATCATCAGTGTGAAATTCCCCACAACTATCTGCATGTTGTATGAACAGTGTGAAATTCCCCACAACTATCTTCATGTTGTATGAACTTATCATCAGTGTGAAATTCCCCACAACTATCTGCACTATCTTCATCAGTGTATGAACTATCCCCTACAATCTATCTTCAGTATGCACTTCCCCACAACTATCTGCATGTTGTATGAGCTATCTATCATCAGTGTGAAATTCCCCACAACTATCTGCATGTTGTATGAGCTATCTATCATCAGTGTGAAATTCCCCACAACTATCTGCATGTTGTATGAGCTATCTATCATCAGTGTGAAATTCCCCACAACTATCTGCATGTTGTATGAGCTATCTATCATCAGTGTGAAATTCCCCACAACTATCTGCATGTTGTATGAGCTATCTATCATCAGTGTGAAATTCCCCACAACTATCTGCATGTTGTATGAGCTATCTATCATCAGTGTGAAATTCCCCAGGACTATCTGCATGTTGTATGAGCTATCTATCATCAGTGTGAAATTCCCCACAACTATCTGCATGTTGTATGAGCTATCTATCATCAGTGTGAAATTCCCCACAACTATCTGCATGTTGTATGAGCTATCTATCATCAGTGTGAAATTCCCCACAACTATCTGCATGTTGTATGAGCTATCTATCATCAGTGTGAAATTCCCCACAACTATCTGCATGTTGTATGAGCTATCTATCATCAGTGTGAAATTCCCCACAACTATCTGCATGTTGTATGAGCTATCTATCATCAGTGTGAAATTCCCCAGGACTATCTGCATGTTGTATGAGCTATCTATCATCAGTGTGAAATTCCCCAGGACTGTATCTTCAGTTCGAAGTCCTCATGTACTAAGATTTATACAGTCAAATCTGGTTAAAAATAAAAATCTTTTATATGTTTTTTGATTGACTATGAATGTGAAGATTGAATCTTACCCAGAGTTAACAGAAGTTATCTGCTGATCAAGAGATAAACTCTATCATGTGAAAATTACAAAAAACCTGCCTGAGAAGACAGAATGACTTCTGTTTTCATCTGACCAGGCAAAGCTCTCAAATATATATCTGTGAGAATTACAACTTTACGGTGTCTGGAACATGAGTTGTAGCAGCTAGTGCTCCTTGTAAGATTGATGGATGTATTTACAGACTATTACACTTAAATAATCACAACATTTCATTCCAATATATCAGCTCTTTTTACATCCAATTTTAAGACATTCTCACCATAAAACTTATATTTGTGAAATCTTCTTTGGCATTGAATTCAGAGATG